GGATTTGAAAGGCAGTGAAGAAAGGGGAGGGTTGGATCACAACAAACCATTTAGCAAACAACATTCTGTTTTCTTTGTTGCATGTATATTATACTTCATTCACCAACAAATGGTTTGCATATAGTGCATGATATGAAGGATTACATTTTTATTCTCTTTTTGTTGTGCAATCCCTCATTTCTCATGCAGCTCCATTCAAACTGGAACTAACTGAGTTAAAAAGAAGAAGATTAATGCAGGCTCAAAGTGGATTACATGTCTAAAACAAGCCTGCTAATTGATTTATTATAGGAAAAACACACCCATAAAAACATCTGTCCCGCCCAGGACACAACAGAGAATTGCAGCACAGGCCTGTTTGTTTTCACTCTCAAATACTCAAAGATATGGGAATGAATTACAAACACGTTTTGGGCTCTCGTGATCCTTGTACAGAGATTCAAATCTTAAAAACAGTGCAGTCACATTTAGAGCTCCACTTTGATGATGATTACATGTATCTGGTGGAGAATCTGTCCTGTTCTACCAGAATAAAACCTACAGTACAAAGACATGTATGCATTTTCATGGATGACTGCCATTTTGGAAAGAAATCAATTATATATGCTGTGCGAAATTCTTGAGCCAACCATCCATCCATCTTCTTCCGCTTAGCTGGGGTCAGGTCGCAGGGACAGCAGCTGAGGCAGGGTGGAGGGAGACCTCCCTCTCCCCAGCCACCTCCTCCAGCTTATCCGGGGAAACACCAAGGCGTTCCCAGGCCAGCCGAGAGATATAATCTCTCCAGCGTGTCCTGGCTCTTCCCCGAAGCCTCCTCCCAGTGGGACATGCCCGGAACACCTCACCCAGGAGGCATCCTTGTCCGATGCTCGAACCACCTCAACTGGCTCCATTCGATGTGGAGGAACAACAGCTCTACTCTGAGCCCCTCCCGATGGCTGAACTTCTCACCCTATCTCTAAGGGAGAGGCCAGCCACCCTTCGGAGGAAGCTCATTTCTGCCGCTTTTATTCGCGATCTCGTTCTTTCTGTCACTACCCACAGCTCGTGACCATAGGTGAGGGTAGGGGCGTAGGTTAACTGGTACTTTCATGCTCAGCTCTCTCTTCACCACGACAGTACAGCGTCCACATCACTGCACATCTCTGTCAATCTTCTGCTCCCCTCAGTTGTGAACAAGACCCCGAGATGCTTAAACTCCTCACATGTCCCTGACCCAGAGTGGGCACTCCACCCTTTTCCGGCTGAGGACCATAGCCTCAGACTGGGAGGTGCTGATTCTCATTCCCGCCACTTCCCACTCGGCTGTGAACTGCTCTAGTGTGACCTGGAGCCCACCACCTGATAAAGCATACAGAACCACGTCATCTACGAAAAGCAGAAACGAGATTCTGACACCATCCAAGTTGTTACGCCTAGAAATTCAGACCATAAAACTTACGAGTCCAGCGCTTGTGTAGACCAAGCTCTTCCAGCGGGTGTATAAGGATCAAGTAAGGTGTAGTAACACGCTCAAGGTGTAGTAACCTGCCAACCCTCATTATTTTATACTTAGCTAGGAAAAACAGAAATATTTACATAATACAAAATTAGGCAAAAACAGAGTTTATACAATTCTAACAAGCCTGAAAGTCAATATTTGGTATGACCATCTTTATTCAACACAGCTTGAACTCTTGTAGGCAAATCTACTTGTAATTTCTTTAAAAGTGGTCTTTAGGAATAGTTCTCCAAGCCAACCGAAGGACACCCAAAATGTATCTTTGGATGTTGGCTGCATTTTTTTTGTTTTGCTTTTTTTGTTGTTGTTCTTTGTCAAGGTGATCCCACTTTACAATAATGTTGAGTTCCAGGCTCCGGGGAGGCCAATCCATGATTGATATTGTTTACTGGCACATCTTCTTTTGTCCCTAAAAGACACACTCACACCATGTTGAGACACGCAAAGTTTCTGGCTAGTAGCTCTTTGGGGCTTATCGTGCTGGTGTACTAACTAAAGTACTAAGCATTGAAAAGAGCTTATCAGTTAATGTTAGATAGCTACCTAAAATCAATACATGCTCATTACATGTCACTGGCATAAGCATGCAGGGGTAGTAGTGACAAAACGAATCAAAATTTATTTCCAGTGTCCTCACTGACCACACAGGTTGTTGTGGTAAAGAAGTATTGGTGACTGTGCTTTATTGGCACAGTTAGACGAAGTGTGTTTCCATGCAGTATCCGGTTTTTAAATCTAAAATCATTAGCCGTTTCCGGGGCCAAACTTTCAGGTCCCAAAGTCAAACGAAAACTGCAGCATCACTGAGAGTTAAAAACTGTCTAAATTCTTTCATCTTTAATAAAATGATCAGCGTTGCTGCTTTACCAGGTGTAACTATGAAGTTTAACATCCA